AACCAACCAAAATCTGGTAATTTCTTGTAAATCATTATGTTGCTTACATAAGAAGAAACACAAAAGATGCCAACTTATTAAAAGAAGTTAAAAAAAAATGTTTTGAAGAATCTAGGTCCCTGTTTCAAATATAGGCACCGAGAAGCCTATTTCTCCTTGAATTCATTTTTATTAAAACTTACTTCTCCAGTGTTTCTGAGATGTTTTTTTAAAATGTTATTCCCATAATTTGTACATGCAATGCAGGAACATATATATCTATATATCTATATATCTAGGCAAATCTGAAAAAGATTTGTGGATGGAATTGTCAGTTACGTCAAGGATATAGTAATAACAGTACAAACCCATCCACCCAGGGTTTAGAATTCATTCTGCCGTCAATGGAGTACACGCAAGTTATATAGCAAACATTAGCATGGATTATGTATTTTGTATATTCTGTTGGAAGCGATCCAAAATGCAGGTGTATAAATAGTACAGATAATTCATCTTTTTACTGATGACTGTAGAAATAGGAAATATTTTAACTTGGTTGAAAGCATCAAGAAAGCTTTAAAATTAAAAGAGCAGATGTCAAATATAAAGCTTTTAGTTTACTGAGCAATGCGTATGATAAACATTGATTATTCATCTTGATGTTAAGAGTTCAAAAACAATTGTCCCTTCAGTTTGCCTCATGGGAGCATGAAATTAGGACCATGTGTGCGTTGATTAACAACATATGAAAGATGAATCACGATTACTGTTTTGGTCTGGTGCACAAGGCTATGCTTGAGGGGTAGTGATTTCCTACCTCCTTTACCAGATCTCTGTAATCAGTGCTAGCATCTATCTCTGTTTCCTAGTATTGATGTTAAAGTGCTGCCTGACAGTGCCTCTTCACATGCGTAAATTGCCTTTATCGAATGAAAGAGTATTTGCTCAACAAAAGTTGAATGTTGGAGTATATTTCAATATTATTTGTAAAAATGGTTATTAGTAGGACAATTGTGAAATCACCAATGCCATCTCTAGCAATTGTCAAATATAAAAAATAGATGTTACTTTCAAATATGAAACACTCTATGTTCTAGATTAAAAAGAAGAGGGAAAAAGTTCAACAATAAAAATCAAACAGATTTTTTATTTCTTTCCATTATATTTAATTTATGCCTCTGATGGCAGACATTAGTTAAATTTAACTTTTCTTGGAGGCACAATTAGTTCCTGTGGTTAAAAATTTCATTTAAGCTTTATTTCTGGAAATGTAATCCTAACTTTGTTCCTCTCTGGCCTAGTAATGGGTAGAAAGAGTTGTTGTAAGTGCATTTCATTAATAAGTTATGATTAATGAAGGGTAGGTATTAGAAAAATATAAAAAAAAAAAAACAAACAACAGGTTAACTACATATAATAGTCTTTGCCTTGTATTAATACTTGTGCTCTTTCATGTTGAAAGATGGATATTTAAATAAAATGAAATGCCTGTACATGCCTTGAACATCCAGATGAGTTATTCATTCTTCAGGACTTGATGTGTATTAGTGTTATTCAGAACTGTGCTGATTTAAGATATCTTAGGATCTTAACCTGAACTATTCAAGCTGTTCATGTGGATTGAGGAACAGATCCAGCATTGATCTCTGTGATTTGAGGTATGTGATATGTGATGGAAATTCTTTCTGGTTTGCTTGCCCAATATAGATGCAGGATTTGGACCTTAGCTTATCAGGTTTTCTGTGGAGTTCTGTGCTTTGAGCTCACATAATGTGAGATTTAATGTTGTTGTGGAAAACACCCTCCCACCCCTGCTTTTTGACAAACGATTATTTGTAATTTAATCTGTGTGCATTTCAACTTCAATTATCTGTTTAAAGATCAGTGGTCTATAGTTCTTCATAAAAGATGTTTTGGCTGTTTTCTTTCCTATGTATTCCTTCTCAGTCAGTGTGTATAGAAATATATGCACCAAAGGGATTTTGTAGACAAAGCTCCAGGCAATGGAGACTTGCTTTCTAGTAAAGTTCAGAATAAATTAAAAGCTGCATGTAAATTCAACAAACGTTAGTGGTTAATTAACTAAAAATGTAGAGCCCTAAGGCCATAACATTAGTATTTATGGTTTTAAAGTAAGATGCTCTAAACAAGTTGTCTTAGCTATAAGCCATTTAAATAGCACAATTACTTTTTGGCTTAAAAACAAGGGAATGGTTCCTGGAAGAATGTATTTTTAAACTCACAACAGTAAGCAGTTGGAGGATTAATACCAAAGTTTAGCATGATGAAATTGTCTGACTAGCTTACATGTTTTAACTTATAACTAATATGAAAATTATCTAGTTCAACACTTTAAGGTGACCCTAATCCTCTTGCAAATTACTGCAGCCTTTTTGCACCTTTTATACACTTGGGAGCAAATTTTTACAACCAGTAAGTCTCATGTGCTGCTTAAGTTCGGCAGAGTTTGGCTTATGTTATATTTGCTTTTTGCATCTACTTTGTTAATGATTGCGGTATATTGATTTATACTTCTACTGTTATGTGCTTTGTGATGTCACCATAATCCCAGTAGAAATGCAATTAAAGGTGCCATGAAAAGTGTTGCTATATTATATTTTTTTAAAATGTAGGATATAAAAGATCCTATCTAATGAATTAAAGTAGTTATGCTAATTTTCTGTGGGGTTTGGTGAAATGTATGTCTCTCAAAACTTCAGGTCTAGGACACAAAAGGAAGAAAGGTAACAATTAATTATTTGATGGTTTATCTGCCTTTATAAATATGAAAAGCCAATAGTTTCTTTTGTCATTTTTTAATCAAACACATAAGATCTTTGTTTTGCTGTAGCAGTAAGTTAAACGACATTTTATGTAGTTTAGGAGAGACAGAAAATGAGTCAGAACAGAATAGGTATTAATAGAAAAGTTAAGACTGAAAAAAAATTGACGCCTTCCTGTTTCAGGAAACCTTTTTGTATAACAGCTTGTTTAATGCCAAACTGAATCAAAGTTAAACAAATGAAAAGCCACCTAAGAAGAAAGTGACATTACAAATTTAACTTCTAACAATACTGTCAAGATCTGATTTGCTTTCATCCTTTATGTAGTGTTTGACTTTTTTTTTCCCAAAGGTAACTTAACTCATACCTTGTTTTTCTTTCTAAATACCTGTGTCTGACTATTAAGTGACACACAGTGAATGTTTACGTGTGATCCTGACAATATCTAATTACTGCTGGAGTCCTTTTATACTATTAACTTCTGCTCTTTACATTGTAGCAGTAAACCCAGATACAATTCTATGTAAATGGGAGGTATGTTTTTAAAGATAATGGTAATTATGATGTTATTTGCCTTTCAGGGAATGATACACTAAGAATCAGTGTTCCAGTTTTCAACTTTGTGTATAGTAAGGGTGATGCTACATTTTGTGTTTCAAAACCAATTTCAGTGCTTTCTGAAGGGTCAGGTATTGCATCTCTGAAGTCCAAAGTTCTTTTCTATAAGTATGGAAGAGACAGCAGACTCATCAGTCTGCGTATATGTCTGGATTCCTCCCTGGTAGTTCTCCGGTTGGTCCTCAGTTTTTGTGACACTCTGCAAGGATGGCAGTATCTGCTTTAATAGTATTTGATAATAGAAAAGGGTGTCTGATGTAGCATAATGGATTTCTACGATATGCACTTCTACTGGAAAAGTTATGGGATATAATTATCTGAATTATTCCAGTTCGAAATCCACTGTTTCATTTGTTCTCCTTTAACTATTTGTTCATTTCAGCCAATAATTAATGGGAAGATTGAAATTTAAATTCTCCATCTGTGTTTTTGTCTAATTAAGTTCTTCTTAGCAATAATTTCTTTAAAATGTTTACAATACATGGGGCCTCTCATGTAAATAAATACAACAGAAAAGTAATCCAGTGCATAAACCACATAAGACTCAAAGCACATGGAAATATGAGATCAGGCACAGAAACATAAATTACATACAAATTTATCTGTATAAAATAATTTAATGAAGGATATTGTGGGCACATATCTAGACACTGGACATTGATACTCTCTGTAATACATTTCTCCCATATACAATTCAGGCACACTGATGAACCAGGCCATAGGTTTTGTGTCCTGGCTTATCATACCTCAGTTTATGTTAAGCTTTGAGTTCTGTGTAGTTCTTGTGAGCATTGAATAATATTAGACTTACGAAAAAAGGATGACTTGATTATAGATGAATTCTGAGTGTGCTGAAAACCTGGTGGGTTAGTTTGCCCAGTTGACAAACGGATAATAAGAGTCCTTCAGGCACCTGTTCTGAGGTAGTTAATGAGATGAGGAGGGTCTGGGAGGTGATGAGTGCTCTTTAATCAGTTCTTCTACTGTTTTGCTCCTGCCTTTAATTTCTTTCCTGAAAATGACCTTCACCAAGAAAATGAACTAAAGTGCTATGACCACAGTGCTTAGCAGTGACATTCCTTCTTCCCTCTGTTTGAACTTCTAATAATCTTTTTCATGACTGTAGAATTGACATCAGCTTTTTCAGACTGACATTCTCTCTTGTCTTCTCTTGCATTGTATTTGCCCTGGAGAACCCAATTTAATTTGTCATTAAACCTTGATTAAAGGTGTGGTTTTTGTATGGGCATGATAAACCTACATGGTGGAAGTTGAAAACATCACATAACTTTATTTCAAAAATAAGCTTCTATGATTCACTTCTGCTGGGCAAGTCATACTACTTAAGTCACAATTTCATGTCTTCATGCAAATATTATATTCAGACTTTCATTTCTGTTTGTTTTCACTTCTTTCTGTATTACGTTTGGAAAGTTGATGACAGGTGAGTGCATGCAGGTGTATGCAATCTGTTCTGTCATTGCCTGTGTTCAGATTGATGGATGGTGTGCCCAAACAGAAGGAAAAAACCATGAGTTCTATCATCATCCAAAGAACTATTTACAAAATAAAAATCTATCTAAGTTCAAAGTAGCTTGCTTTATTCAAATTATCCTACAGGGGCTGTCATCAGTCACCAAGAACAATGGACTACTCAATATCACCTTTAAATATGACAGTAAGTTGAAAATTTGCACTATATTCACAAAAATCAAGGACTCCATCACAGTTGTCAATATATAACAACATGTCTCTTATAAATGGCTTTAAGAATAGCATGAGCTCTTTAATATTGACATAATTTTAAAATCTAGATTTGTTTCTGCTGGATCTGGTGGATCTTCTCCTTCCTGATAATAAAACGATCTAATAATTTGTAGTAGTTTCACTTTCAGATTGGCCTACATCATCTGCCCAGTATTTGGCTGGAAAATTATAGCGACTGATTTTATTCTGTGAAAGAATGCAGTCATTGAAAGGTTCACTACACACAAAGTCATAGGAAAGGATTATTTCAAGCTTTATACATCTTTTCTCTGATGTGTAATTTTGGGAGAAAGTGGTGTAAAGTGTGTCTCAAGATAGAAAACGTGTAGTTTGTATTTGTATACAGGGAATATATTAAAAATGTGTCTTTGCAAGGATTAATATTGAATATGAATATTGACGATTAATAGTATCTCTTCATCTAGTTGAAGTAGTTGGAACTTTTCATTATCTACAGTGTTAAAGGACCAGGTTAGTGGAAAACTGCTGTCTACATTTTCAGTGAAGACAGATGGTTTTAGTACTGTAGCAGATTTGCAGCTAAACTAAGAAGAAAGTAATCTCTAGCATGATAACAGTAATAAGCAGGTTGCAGCAATAATACTTCAGACCTCTTCAAATGTCTGCTAAATGCTGTATCTTATTGCTTCCATTTTTTAAAGGTTTTTGTCATCTGTGTTGTCTAGTCAGTAAAGTATGACTATTGACTACATTGGGAATTTATCCTTATTTGGGCAGTTAGTGGCCATCATCAATATAAACTCAATGTACAGTCAAGAGAAGGTCCTAATTTACAGCAGTAATATTTGTATTAATGCTAGTGCAAGTTACAGGTTGGGTTTTTTTGCCTACCCAAAGAAATTACCTCGGATGCTGAATGTGGGTAAAATTTCATCATTGAAAGCATGTATCAGGAAACCTAATAACACTGCTTTTGTTTCATTCTGATTATCCTTTTGTTCTTTTGCTCCTGTATTTTTATCTTAATTTCTGAATTTGCAATCCTTCACTGTGAATTTTTTTTTAATCTAATTTGATGTTAATATTTAAAATGAGCAAAATTCAAGTATGTCAGATTGTACAAGAGGTAAGTGGTTGCTACAAGAGAGTTATGTTTTTTTTTTTTTAATCTACATAAAGGAAAACAGGAAATAATATCAGTCAGAATAGAGATTCCCACATTTAGTTAACACAATGGAGTCTGTTTAAGTCCCAGTATTTGTCATGTTTTTTCCATTAATTCTGGCACCAGGAACTGTGTTTAACCAATGACAAGTGTTAATTCAAAATTCTGCTGGCATTGCATGCTTCCTGGACAAAGGAGTTATTTGAGTTCTGCAGTACTAGGAAAAGAGTTCCCTGATATCAAGGCTAAAGAGTTTGTATAATATGGAAATACATACTTATCATCAATAAGCCAGTATAAAAGAGAATTTGGCTTGCTGGCTGTGATTTAAAGGCTTTTGTTTTGCCACACAGTAACTCTAGTGAGCTGTGTTTTATGTTGTTAAATCAGTTAGTTAGATTATTTATTCAGGTGAAAAACAAATGTTTGTATGTTTCAGTATTTCACTTGTGTTCAAGTAAAATAAGTGGTTTCTTGAAAAGTGCAATTTTTCCCTGCTGTTTTCTTCCGAAATCTGTTTTCTTTATAAATGTAAATCAGTGACTCGTAGTCAAACTTCAGACATTTGTGCTATATTCTATTTTGGCAAATTGTCATTTGACCATAAAATTTTACTAACCAGGATCCAAAATCTTGGGCTTGCTATTAATTAGATCCAGACCTAGCAAAAAACTGTTACTTCAAACTTTCCATTGAAAGAGATACTCTATTCTTCTAAGAGGAAGTTCATGCTGTCATTGAGTTCACTTTCTACAAACAGCAGAGTAAGTACCCACTGCACAGCTTTTGTAAAAGGCAATGTTGTACAAACTGTTCTATTCTTATTTGCGTGGCAGTTACATAAAAGACCCCTTACCATTGTTATTCGTAGTAAAAAGCCATTTTCTAAAACTGCTTTTCAGTTAATTTTACTTTCCTTGCCTTTAAGATCACACCTCTGAATTAAATGCGAATTTCCTGCATTGGCTTGTCATAACACTTAATTTTTCATATTTAGTTTCTACAAACTCTGTATAGACAAATACATAGCATATAGATTATCTCAGTTTTTAAAAATTAATCATCAGTCAGTAATATATGATCTACTGGTCAACTTTTTCTGGTTTTTGTTGGCTTCACTAGTTCAAAAGCAGAATGTTTGTGCATACACGTCTTCATGTATACTGTGCTCCAGAACTACTGAATTCTCTGGCTGCTACTTCTCTTCCTGCCACAAAATATGAACCTAAACATTTTAAGGCTTTAAAAGTAATACAATTTGGGGTTATTTGTTTTCTTGTTTTGAATGCAAAAGGACACGGTCAAGTTTAACAACAAAGTCAAGAATGTTTTTTTTCTATTTTATTTTCTTAACGAAACCTGAGGTTTTCTATAATCACATGTTTGCAGAGCTGAACTTTAGGGAATACACTGTATTTAGTGAGGATAACAAGACAAAACCAGTTCTGACTGGATCCAGTGGCAGGAAAATGGTCTACAGGGATGTGGCTACTGAATGGATGACAGAGATGAGATGGATTTCGGCAGTAGGTTCTTTGTGGTCAGGATCAAGCAGTATCGTGGTTAAAAAGCACTTCTTGAGCACCAGTTCTAAAGCTTCACATTGTTCATTGTTCTCATACGTGCCTGATCATTGACCAACATTCTCTTGCTCTAAGCACTGTACATGCACAAAATTAATGTCAGTCCTCATATTCTTTTGAGTAATTACTGAGGAAAAGTTGTTCTTTTTTGGGAGTTCCAACATGTGTCATTTTTACTCTTGCCGTGGTACAGGCTACACTGGTATTATAAACTGGTAATTTCCTTTGGAGTCCTGTGAACTAGGTGAAAGTGCAGCTGGTGAAAGTGGTTGTAAATGATTTGTAAAGGTTTGTGGTTTTCAGTGTCCTGAGACAAAAGCTTCATCTAGATTTACTATGTAGTACTTATTTTTATAGAATAAATAGTGCACAGGTACTTTTACTTTGCTCAATCTGGAAGAAATGTTAGGAAATTAACTTAATTCTTTATGTACATGGAAAGATGTGGGTCATGTTGGAAACTGGTTGCTTGAATAGATCTTTAAGATTAGGCTGTTGGCAGATTATGATTTATTTGCTCTGGTATGGCACGAGAACATCAGCTAGAATGTTTTTCTTAAAGCGTTTATTTCTCCGTATTTTTAGACTGCACGCCTTATCTGAATTCAGTGGGAAAACACATGATTGGAGATGTGCAGAATATAACTATCAGTCAGTATGCATGTTATGAACAGGTTGCAGTGACGATACTTTGGACAGCAAATGCCATCGGTAAGTATAGAGGGAAAGGGACTAATTCATCATGGCTTTGGTAATAACTTCTTGCTGATCAATATTAAATAAAATAATTAAATTATGCTTGGAATCATTGAAGCAAACTGCTTAAGAAGGAAGAAATTTTTAACAGCTTTGCAAAGCTGCTATTTTTACTAGCTCACTTGAAATACCCTTATAACTAGGATGCTCTCTGCAGCCATACGCTGCTTTTTACTATTCCAGTTTGCTGAATTTTTCCTGCTCTTCAGAACTGTGTATTAGCCCTGATTTCGTTCTCTGCCCCAAGGCATTGGTGCATGTCAGTGACATTGATGGAGTTTAATTGGCAATACACTTAAAGATTCTTTAGGATGCAGATTGTCTTACAGGTGGAAAACATTATTTAATCATAGTTATACAAACTTCAATGTGTTTCCTTGTCAGCTCAGGTCACTAAGAATATTCCTCAGTCACTTAAATGTCACTGGAAGTACCTTGTTGCCTGCTAGAGCAGTAGTCTCCAAAGTGGGGAGTGCGCAAGATGATCCACTGGGGCATGTGAAGAAAATTTTAGAACTTCTATTTACACTTTTTTTTTAATCTTGAAAAGAAAAACTAAGCTTGACTAATATTTAATATATGCATTGACACTGGCACCCTTACTCGGTCTCTATGTCAGATATTCATGTTTCACATGTGGTACGTGAGGTGTCCTGAAGGAAGAGTGGCTGTTCTACAACGTGGAGGGGTTCACAGTGGTGCCCTCACTCTTTCATTTGCTTTCAGCATATTGCGATGTATTGCAGTGTATTTGGGCCAGGTTAAATGGATTTACTCATTATATTACCTAGTTTTAACTGAACTAACCATCATGATGAAATGAACAAGTGGCTTAAGATAATTGAAGATAATACTAATCATGTGAGCGCATGCGACCAACAAGAAAATAGTAGAGCTGACAGTTCTCCTAATACAGGCTCTTCGTGAGCCACATTAGAAGGTAAAAACAATGACTATTTAATCAGTTCTGATAAAAAATTGGCCAAAATTATCAAAACTATCAAGACTATTTGAAATAGATTTACACCTGCCGTTTTTAATTATGAACCTTGCCCTAAGCGTATAGTGTGCCTTGAGATATTAGCTAACACTGTGAAGCCATCACGATTAGCAAGACATTTGAAAACTAAGCATCTGGAACATGAAAACAAACCTCTACAATTTTTTCAGCGATGCTTGAAGCCATGCAATACTCAATAAAGTACAAAATTTCGCTAAACTTAATTATAAATCTTCAGAAGCCTCTCTTTGTGAAATCTCTTTTGAGATTTCTTACTCAATAGTGAAAGACAAAAAGGCATATACCACTGGGGAAACACTTGTTCTTCCTGCCACAGTAAAACTGGCTGAAAAAATACAGGGAAATATTGGAATGAAAAAAAGGATTCCAGCGTAAGGTTACAGAGATAGCACCACACGTGAATTCAGTCATTGCATCGTTCATAGGGAAACTGTTGCAGCAATGAAGTTGGAGCCAGAAGTGCACAGGATGTCATCAATGTGGTTAGTTTTATAAAAACAAGACATTTAAATAGTAGAATCTTTACAATACTTGATAAGGAAATGGGGAGTGACCATGGAAATCTTTTGTGCCACACAGAGGTTCACTGGTTGTCTGTGGCAAAGTGCTTAAGAGTTGCCAAACTCAAATCTTTGAGTTAAGCATTCTTCTTTCACAAAAAGACAAGTGTTCCAAATTTGCTGACCTTTTCTGTGATGACAAGTGGCTGTCAGTAGTATGCTGCCTAGCAGATATTTAAAAAAAAAAAACAAAAACCAAACCAAAACCACACTTAATGTGTCTCTTCAAGGTAAAGGTGACATTTTAACAATGAGCGAGAAAGTAACTGCTTTTCAAAAGAAACTCATGCTATGGAAAGAGCTTTTTGAAAATGCGTGTTTGGAAATGTTTCCTTTATTATGTGATTTTGTTGCTGAAAACAATGCCAGCTTCTTACCTATAAAAACTCTCATATTTTTACACTTAAAAAATCAGGAAACAGAATTTCGTAGCCTTTTTAAAAATCTTCTGAATGCAGGGTTTCAGTGGGTTTTGTTAAAATAAGTATTGTTAAAAATACAATAATGCAACACATTCTGATTAGTTTGCAAGAGCAACTGACGTCAGGGAAGATACAAATTTACTAGCCAAATTTCAAGAAAAACCTTTGCATAATCAGAGGATGGAAGTGAAAAATGAGTATCATGATTTAGTAAATGCAGCTGATGATGCACTTCCTCCATTTGGATCCATGTATCTTTGTGAGGTTATTTTTTCAGCTATGACAGCCATTAAAACCAAGTAACGAAATAAACTGAACTTAGAACCAGACCTTCAAATTGCCATATCACAAAGTGTTAAACCAAGATTTAAAAAAATAATGAAGCATATTCAATCATATAGCTGTCACTCAAAAATATTATTATTAATATTTTTAAGTCAGAACAAAAAATTTTTTTGTATCATTAATAAAATAAAAATTATTTAAAAAATAGTTTTAAATCTTTATCTCATGCTTTTTTAAATTTTTTTGTGTATATTTTATAATGTACATAATATATTAGCACAGTAGTACATATTTATATTTTATAAATATACTGGGGGGTTGTGCTCAAAACTTTTTTTGTTGATAGGAGTGCATGATCAACAAAATTTGGAGACCACTGCACCATAATGCACTCTCCCTGTACCAATACCTGCTCATCATTTCTTTTTCTTCACACTAATTAAGGTCCTAAATAGAGTAACTTAACATAAACTCTTTTTTTTATCACCAGTATTTAGCAAATGAAAGAGGTGGAGTTTCCTTCTTGAATGTTTTTAATACTTCATTGAAGAATTTTAACTGCAAAGGTGCTTTTCCATATCAATGAAATAATTAGAGTTAAGCACAATATAGTTTTCAAAATTAAAACAGAAATTTGTTTATGTTCTTTTTCTCATACAGCAGAGTCTCAATTTGATATTTCATGGCTCATGCTCCCTCAAAAAGCATTTAAATCAGGTTTTTCTTATGATTTAGTAAGAGCTGGAAGTTCCCATTTATGTGGTAGGATTGCATCCTAAATGATGAGATATGGCTCATCAATAATGCAAATGTGTGTTTATTAAACTTGATATAAATTTTTTAGCCTAGACCTGCATTTATTAAATCAAACATTTTAGATAAGAAAAATTATCAATTTTTCGTGGCCTCCCAGTATTAAATCATGCTTTCATATTTTTTTGGATAAAAAATAATGATTAATTTCTGGGGTTTAAAAGAGTATATGAAAATTACATTTAATTCTGCAAAACTGTGCAGTTAAAAGCATTTGGTAATCTTCAGCTGCAGACTGGATGAATCAAATCTCTATGGGAAACAAAGCTTGGTGTTCTTTCTTGTAATGATCAGAAGTTAATCCTTTGGTAAGTGTGAGGACAGAACTGCTGTTGAAACATCTCGGGTAACGTGGAGACTGGACACTTTCTCTTTCATGGTCTTCATGTAAGCACAAATAGTGCTTTTGTTCCATAGAATAGTAAGAACACATTGGGCAACTTACGGTCTTTATCTTCTACAAGATTATAAAACATTAAAAAACCCCCACAAAGCCATGAAAACTAGTGAAACAGAGGAGGTCTGTGGAAAATCATACACTTGGGATTTTTTTTTTAATTTGACAAGCATAGCATAAACTCAATCTATTTTGATTTATGTAGCATTTAGCTTACAAAGGCTGTGGCTGTGTCTTTGATAAATATGTATTCTGCCATATGTAATGCTGTTTAAAATATGTAATTAGATGGAATAGTGGTAATTAGTCTTGAAGAACTACGCAGTGACTTTGATACCTGAGCCACAAAACTATCACAGGGTAACACTCTGGCATTGTCCTGTGACATGTGCATCACTGTGACTCAGTTTAGTCATGTAATGAAGTAATTCCACGATGACAAAATTGCAAAGAAATGTAGATACACTGTGCTGAGAGATAGTTGTGTTAGAGTATCTTGAAAGAAATGGGTGTAGTTCTGGCATCAGTTATAAATAACTGGAAGTATTCACTCACTGGAATAAATTCCATTCCATTTAAGTCAAGTTTTCTGTTATCCCATACTATACTAGAACTAAAGAAGTAACAACCACTATCACTTTAATCTGGTAGTCTCAGAAATGATAGGAAGATGTTATAAAGTAGTATTTCTATAATTTGCTAGCAAAATGTTGTATTTCATTGCTAATAATGGAAATGTGAAGTTGCTATAAAGTATTCCTGAGGATGATGAAGGTAATGATAACTTATATTGCAGTGATAATTTGGAAGCCCCAGCTGAGATGTGGGCCCCTCTGCTCTAAGCATTACACAAGTATGTAGTAATTGCAGCCTTTGCCAAAGATAGAATTCTAAATAGGCAAGACAGAAAATGCGGGAGGATCTGACATACAACCACAGGTATTAACACACAAACGTATTTCATATGAATGGTTATTTTTAAAGACAAATGAAATATGTTCAAATTACATAAAATACCACATTATGCATTTTGAAATATTAGTTTTCTATTTAACTGCTCTGCTGTTTTGCAGGGATTGAATACCTGAAAGGATTTCGAGTAATACTTGAAGAGTTAAAATCAGAGGGAAGACAATGCCAGCAGATGGTTTTAAAAGATCCAAAGCAGCTCAGCCCCAGTTTTAAACGAACAGTAAGTGCTTTGTTTCAAGAAAAGTTTCATCATTGCTTGATTGTGTGAGTAGTCTTGAAAGTGTTTATATGCTGCATATAAATCTAAATATATCTCTGTCTAAATATATACACAATGTGCTGTTTACTAGGATGCAGGTTGCTTCCTAAAAGTAATATTCTTTAACTAATGATAGTTGTTGATCTAGAGACAAATCTATTCGCCTTCTATAGAAGCTTTCCTGAAGCTGGAAACTGTCCTTTGGGTGACCCTGAAGTACAGATCCATCTGTAGTAGTCCATATCCAACTCTGTATTGAGATTCCTCATGTCAATGTGTTACGGATGGGTAGATAAAGGATTCTTAATGTATCCATTTCTGCTTATGTTTGCAAAACTGTGGGCTTGTTTTGAAAGATACTTTCAGTTACAATAGTTGATTTTAAAACGTGTTGTAATCTTGTCTTTTTGTAGGGGATGGAATCCCAGCCCTTTGTAAATCTGAAGTTTGAAACAGATTACTTTGTAAAGATTGTTCCTTTTCCTTCCATTAAAAATGAAAGTAATTATCATCCATTTTTCTTCCGAACTAGACGTAAGTATTGCATACAATATAGTATTGCATATCATCTCTTCATTAATGGGTGGCTCGCCCCACCCCAGCTTTTCAGTTTTCCCAACAAAGGAATGTAGTAGATGGTGATGTTAGCTGAGTCTGGGTTAAGGTAGTTACTGACCTAGTCTTTGAAGGAAGTTCTGGGTGTTAAGTGGAAAGAATTTGGATGCCACAGATAAGTCTGTGGTGTATGATAATACATGTTAGGCAACAACTAGAAGAAAAGTCTCAGGTAGGCCTGAAATCATCCCAGGTTTGCCTATAGCAGGATTACTCCCATGGTTCTCAGGAACATTGGACTCATGAAGATGGTTTGCTCCTTTTTGTCTCTGGACATTGTGAAGAATCTCAGGTTGTTTTTGTTCTTGATTTGTTTTGTTCTTGATTTCAAAACCAGATATCTAGAGATAGATAGAGATGAGTACATATAAAATTAGATAGCAACAAATCAAGTTTAATTTCTCAAAATTACTTAGCAATTCTCATTGGAGTTAGAGAGAAGAAACTTGAATAAGCTCCTCAGTGCTTAAATAGTATGATGAGAAACTGCAAGTACCCTTTGGGGTCAAATGTTGATATTAGTCCTACTTAGGGTTTTTTGCCCTGTAAAACTTTCTTAAAATATTTTCAAGTCTGTCTGTTGATGCAAACCGCAGTAACATTTGTCTTTATAATCGTGCTCAGCATACTTATTTACTCTGAGTAAATGTATTTAAAGCTAGTTTCAACTTCCTCTCCTGCTGTGCTGTGCCCGGTGCTATCCCTTTTGTCTCACTAAGGAATGCTATTTTCAAATTAATGAACCTGTGTTTCTCATATAAAGATGAGAAGGGACTTGAAATCATAACAAAGAAGATAAGTTTGCAAAATATATTTACTCCAGGCATACTAAAGACTGGGAAAGAAATGGTAAATGATGATCTCCCTTCTTTTGCCCTCATTCTTTTTCTATTTAAATAGCATAGTATTTTGATACCATATCATTAATAATTTTTGTGTGTATTTGTAGCATGTGAATTGTTGCTACAGCCAGAAAACCTTGTCTGCAAACCTTGTAAGTAAAATGTAATACTTTTGGTATATTCATCTTACAAAAAGTTACTGTACTTGAAGAGTCACTTTTTTCCAATTCATGAATATCTCCTCTGACAGACTGGAAGCCAAGGAATCTGAATGTTACCCAGCAGGGTTTTAACATGCAAGTGTCCTTTGATCATGCACCTCATAGCTTTGGGTTTAGATACTACTTTCTTCACTACAAACTGAAGCATGAAGGCCCATTTAAGCAAAAGACCTGCAAACAGGTACGTCGCTGAGTTTTGCAACTGTTAAAAGCACAAAACCTATTACCATTAGATGTTCTGAGTTTTTATAGAAACTTTAAAAACTTAATATAATATAGAATACTATCGGTTTTAAAATTTTTAAACTATTTGGTACTATTTGTGTAAATAATATTTGTATTGTGATAGCACTCATCAGTCAAAACCAGGCTTGAAGGTCCATTGGAGACAGATAGTATAAGCAAATGGGAAGAGGCTGTTCGCTCTCTTGAAGACCCTACAACTAATTAGTACTTCAAACTGCAGTTTTATGATGTTTTTTATATTATTTCTTACTTTTTTATTTCACCTTTGCACCAAATTTGACCACTTCATAGATCACCCATCTGAGATGGTATCACAAGACAGCTCTCATTTTAGTATGTGCATGGAATTAAGCACTTTGTGATTTTGTACAGCTGTCTGCTTAGGTCTTATTATGGGAGCTGCTATTTGATGTATTATTTTCCTTAAGTTTGGTTAATATTCAATGGCAAGTTTGTTCTCACTGGTCAATCTTTCATCTTAAGTCTCTGAAAGCTAGGGAGCTTCAGCGCACAATGTAGAGTTTATGTATTAGACCAAACTTTTAAGATTTTTTTTTTTTTTTTTTGATAATTAATCATGTTTTAGTTCTGCAGGCAGAGGATTGTAGTCCTTGCATATTTGAATGGAGTTTTGCTGGTTTAAGGTGTCTTAATACAGGAGGGCACTGTATATTGCTAAATCAATGCAAATGTATTTTTCATTAGGTTTTACAAGTAAGTGAATGGCTTGCAAAGTATTCTCTTTCCTTGATGTAGGAGCAAAACACAGATACTACAAGTTGTATTCTTCAGAATGTATCTCCAGGGGATTATATAATTGAGGTAATATTTATAAATAGTCATTTGTACAACAGATAAATGAGTATGTTAATGGAGAAATTAACTGAAATTTAAGTATTTCAAGTCACACTCTGGTAAAATTGGACTTCAGGCATCCCTACTGAAGCACCTTGGGCAAGTAAAGGTTTTTAGATAGATTGTTCTTGACCTTTCCTTGTGTGGATAGCAGTTTCATCTGTGCCTTCAAGTAAAGTTGTGGGCCTGCATAATTCTTGGACTTTGATTTTTTTTTTTTTTTTTTTTTTTTTTAAATTGGAATTCTGTAGTTTGGTCAATTTTTACTATACTTAAAAGCTGTGTGTTTCTCTTGGTGATGACAGTATGTGAACTCTGAAAATTAGTATTGCAACATTAAACTATGTACCAACAAAGACAAATGATTTCACTAATTACTAGTTTCTGGTGCTCTTTAATTTTAACTTTTTGAACAGTAAGTTTCTTCACATTTGGTCATGAAAGCTGTTAGTTGTTTACACATTGCAGAAAATAAATAAAATTAAATTTCCACAAAATAAAATTCAACTTTTACTTTTCCAAGCTGGTTGATGACACTAATACAACGAGGAAAACAATGCACTATGCGCTAAAACCAGGTATGAATTTTGTTTTTTAAACAGTATACAGTATTTATCTTATTAATTTAGATTCAGTTTTAATTATGTTGGAAATAAATCTCGATTTGACCTGTGTCAGTTTGCCATAATCAAGACTGCTGAGCCAATTGTGCTGTGATTTTTTGACCTAATGAAAAAAGAGTAGATATGCACAATTGTACATACACATCTGCATCTCTATACTTTTATATTTAGTACTGTTTAGATCAATATATCATTGGAAATCTTTGTGGGAAGTCACTTTTATTGTATATATCGATATGAAGAATCATAGCCTGTATCTTAATCGCATACAACTGATGCATGGAGTAGTGTGGAAATAATGTAATGAAACTGTGAGAGAGCCTAAACACATTCCCTGCCTGTATACTTCAGCCTTGAAATCAAATCAAGCAGTCTGGAAAACCTGTCAGGTACATGCTTAGCATGTCTATGTATCAGACCAGTTATTGAGAAGCTAAATAGGGCTTTCAGAATGTAACCGCAGACAGAAAACATAGCCGCAGATGAAGGCAACGGGCAAAGTGGACTGAATCCTAATGCACATTGCTGAAGGTAATCTGTGCAGGAAGACAGTTCTAAGTGCCTAGTTCAGCACCCTGGTACAAAAGTCTGTCAGGTCTAAATGACTATTGCGTATCTTATCAAAACTGCACTTCATGTAAAGTTCTTCTCATGGGGGGAGGTATGAGTTGGCATGCAGCTCTTGTTACTTACATTAGTTGCTCTAATGCTGTGGTGATGGGGGCAATCAGCATAAAACCTATTTAAAACGGAGCAGAACATGTTTGATTCTACTGTATATTTGAGAATTACCTGATAATAGTGTACTGCAGCAGTCTTACATCCCAGTGTGAATATCTGATTAGATAATTATAATATAGCTTATTTGCATATGGCTAATTCTGCTTTATTTTTCAAAGTACATTCTCCGTGGGCTGGACCAATAAGAGCTATTGCCATTACAGTCCCTTTAGTTGTCATTTCGGCATTTGCAACGCTTTTCACAGTGATGTGCCGCAAGAAACAGCAAGGTAAGAGGGTTTATTCAATACAGAGTTCCATTTAAAGGTGCACTTTTGCAACCAAAAGCGTCTTAACTGGTAGGTTTATTCCAGCAATACCTTTATCTGAAGAGCTTTCCTTTCTTTTCTACTTCTCTCTCTTTCCTCCCCACTGCTTTTTTTGTGTGTTAAAACTTGTAGCAAATTCTTAATCAGTGCTTGATGGTAATTTGTTGCCATAGAAAGTATTGTATCACAAATCAAGACTACACTGTAGAAAGGAGAGAACAAAATTGCTGTTGGGAAATATTTTTGGTTTCGGGTTTCTTTTTATTTGTGAAAGTACTACATGACCACGTAGAATATGAACAGATCTGTAAATTGATATATTTTAAACATTCCCTTATTTCATTCAGAAACATCTAATTCATATTTATTTTAAACCAGGAGGAAGGTAAAGCCATGTGATACAAATACAGTTCTCAGCACTGTCTGGTATACTATCTGTATCTGTTATTCCAGATTTGCTTACTTTCCTGGAAGTTGCCTTTACACTTCATCCTAAGCCGTCTTGCTAAATTTACTCTTTCTAAGACTTACTTGCAGATGTTTCTGTAAATTAGATTCCATCCCTCTTTGACCTCTCTCTCCTCTGTGTCCAGGAGCTGGCAAGCCACACTTGTTACATTGAGATGTTAAAAATCAATTGGCTTTTTTTTGTAGAATCTAGGGAATCATGCGGTTTCATGAATATGGAAAAAGAGATTACTTCCCCAAACCTCACATATCTGTGTTATCCATCTGAATTTTGGCACTGAGGTATACTGCAAGTGCGATATGCCATCTGGGTTAAATCCTTTTACCTTCTGGTCTTCTGTGGCTATCCCTTTGCTCACAGCTAGCGCAGTTCCAACAAAAAACCCAGACAAATCACTAAGGATTTGTCTACAGAGAGAGTTGTTCCAGAATAGTTATTCCTGATGAATTGTTCTAAATTAAGTCCCTGGATGGATATTTGTAGTTTGAAATACTCATGCTTTATTCCAAATTAGCTTAACCAACTGTAGAACTAGATTGAATTAGTCTGGCCTAAGACCAGACTTTTATGTTCCAGCATAAAAGCATCTATACAAGGAAAGAAACACCAGTAGCTATTTTGATTTAAATTGATCATACCTTAATTCAAATTAATGTCCAAACATGCATGTGTATATATATACCAGAGAGATACTGTAAGATGTTCTGAAGGGATCTGTGTTCCTGGAGTTTAATATTCACCTGGCTTGTGTTGTGTTTTTTTTTTAAACAAGAGACTTTGTTATAAAGGAAACTCTTGATGATCTTTAAGGCTTATAATATTTGAACAGAGAGGTGAAGACTGTTGAAGCTGGATAGAGGTGAAACAACCTCATTCTATTTATAAAATAAACCTTTCTTAAGTTTTCTGACTTGTACAGTAATAACTGCACATTTCACTTTCAAAGTGTGTTCCACATATGTAGCAACTCATAAGCTGGATAAATAGAGCATGTGCAACTTTTCTTTTTCAGGCTGGAAAGGAAAGAAGTATCTTTCAAAAATAGTCATTACTGTATGCATTAGAAATGAGCCTACAAAAGTTTTAAAAAACCAAAACAAAACCAAGCTTTATAGTGTGAACTCTCTTTCTCTCTTCCAATTTAGAAAATATATATTCCCATCTGGATGAGGAGAGCTCAGAATCTTCAGCATATGCTGCAGGTCTCCATGTGGAAAGACTTCGTCCCCGGCCAAAAGTGTTCATCTGCTATTCCAGTAAAGACTGCCAGAAACACATTAACGTCATCCAATGCTTTGCTTATTTTCTTCAGGACTTCTGTGGCTGTGAGGTAAAGTCAACATTTCTTTCGTAAACAGAGTTTCCTTAATTGAAACAGCACCCCCAAAACTCATAATAATATGTGCTTCAGAATGAGGTATTTCAATCTCTCCTTTCCACATAGATAACTTCCATTATTTTTCTAAATATTGGCCATCTAAATTTTCTTTAATTAGGGAAAGGAGCAGATCATAGCCCGCGTTTATTAAAAAAAAAAACAAACCAAAAAACCAAAACAACCAAAAAACCCCACCCAAAACCAAACCAAAACCAAAAAACAACAACCAACACCCACCCCCACCCCCCAAAAAACCCCCAACAACAAAAAAAAAAACCCAGAATAGTGGAAAATGTGTACCTCATTGATTCCAGGACTTTCATTCAGCCATGTTTAGCTTATTTTGTATTAACTGCTTTTTCTTTTTAGAAGGTCTTGCATCTTTATAGTCAGCAGCTACAAAGAGGTATTGGTGTCTACCTGATATAATTCAGTATTCCTAAAATACGTTTTATATTGTAATTTTAAAGTAGTTGAATCTGTCAAAACTCCTACTCATAGGGCAAAATCTGTGTAATTAGGATTAGTTGTTGACATTATGTATTAATTTTTATTGATTTTTTTTTTTTTTAACTTCCCTTCTGTTCCATTAATGCTGTAAAATCAGCATGTCTTTTTCTTGTTTTTGATTTAAAGCTGAGAGAGAGACATTCAAATTGTTACTTTGAACGACTAGGCTTAGAATCTCACACTGCTTTCTAAAATATAATCAATATGTGGCCCGTCTTTCACTTCTCAACTGTAAAAAGGCAAGACAATTATCAGTCTATTTTTGCTGCATTTTAATTCTGCCACCGTGATTTTAAATGCATGAACTGGAACGGTTTTTCCAACTCTACAGCAAGTCTGACCTCTGGTGGCCAAACACAGTAATGTAATCGATGCCTCACGCGTTTGGGGATGTTCACGGTTTGTTCATATGTTTAAAATAGTTCAGGTAAGGTGTTTTATAAGTAACTTGCTTGAATCCCCTTTTTAGAGATGTACTTTAGCCCTGCTACACCATACCTCTTTGAAATAGTGTTAAGGTGAGCTGTTACTGCTATAACTATGTACCATGGAACATATGGTATCAGGCATAATTAAATATTTAGATGACAAAATATTGGTAGTATCTACATACAGAAATAATATGGGTTATTATTAAGGTTGTGGAGTTTAATATAAAAAGTGATGCTCAATGCATAATGGAACAGTTGCACAAGTATTTTTCATATGGAATTGGAATGTTTTGTCATAAAGGACAAAACCAGTGACATTTAATAGTGATTTAAAATAATAACTCGACCATACTAAAAATCCTTTCTCACAGATAGATCAGACAGTGTTTTGAAGAACAGAAACAAAAACAGACAGAAAAGAAAAACTACCTGTGTTGTACCTTTATCAGAGTATCTCCCAAGCAGCTGTAAAATGACTTATCTTCCCCATGCATAGAATAGAATACTTCAGTTGGAAGGAACCTGCAGTGATCATCTGGTCCAACTGCCTGACCACTTCAGGCACGATCACTTTCTTCCTGTAGCTGACTGTGTGGTAACAGTTTTCATGAGTCCTTGTGTTCTAGGCATCCACCTACTCTCTGTCTTCTGACACGGCAAAGTTTTCCACTCTGTTATGGGTGATACAGCAGAGCAACAATACTGGAAAAATGCTTGAGAGAAGACTTTATAAATGGTTTTGATGTGTGTTTATTATGAAAGTTTTTTGCATCTATTTTTTTCTGTTATTCTGCTGCTCATTCTTTCTTTCATGAGATAAAGCGTTGTGTCCTTCATCCTGGTGTACACAGGCATTTCAGACCATGTAGAATGTTCAGAAAATTTGACAAAGTACAAAATAAAACAACTCTTATGATAAAATATTCAGAGATTTCTTATCAGAGATAAGCTGCTGCTGTTTTGCATCCTAACTGAAAGGACTCGATGTTACAGGCACTAATTATGTTTGTATCTAGATATGAAAATTCTTGGCATCAGACTTCATTAGTATGCAAAAAATGCTAAATGAATATGGATTTCCATTACATTCAGCACATTAAGGACACAAATATACAACAGTTAAATTGTTTGAGGCAGGCAGAATACATTGTTTATTGTGGATTGATGATATCTAATTTGATCAGATAAGTAAATAGTAATTTACTTGGTCTAGCCACATTTTCTATGTTCTTTTTATTCCCTGAGAAATATTGCTATGTACCAAATCCATAGTAGTTTTATTTTTCAAGGAACTACCCAGTTTACATTTAACTACTTGGCTCTGCATCATAAATTTATACGTAACACAGGTATAATTAGGTATGTTTTTCTTTAAGTAATAAATAAGCAGCAAAATGGGTTCATATAGTAACTAGCATTCTTGTTTTTAAAAAAAAAAAAAAGTCTGGAAGGTTTTCCTTTTTACCTTAGCAATTCACCTATTTCCTTAGCCCAGTGAAATATTCAGCCCGCAAGCAAAGTTTAGACTGAACGTGAGGCCTTGCTTATTTGGTGCATAACTACTGTCATAGTAACTATCACTGATTCCAGTTTGTTCACTATTAATGCTATGTTGTGTATTACTTATTTCTCTCTTAAAACAGCTTGTATTTGCATCAGGGACAAGCTATAGTTAAATTCATCATTAATTCTCAATTGTCGGATAAATACAAGCTGACTTACTGAGTATAACTCATTTAAATTTTATTAGCAAATATATCTAATAATCTAATAATGAATATCCACCAGAATGTCCTTTTCTTTTCCAGGTGGCTCTAGATTTGTGGGAAGACCTAAAAATTTGTAAAGAAGGTCAGAAGGAGTGGCTTATTAAAAAAATAAACGAGTCCCAGTTTATCATCATTGTGTGTTCCAAGGGAATGAAGTACTTCGTTGAAAAAAAGAACTGGAAACACAGAGGGGTAACGAAAGATGCAGGAAAAGGAGAACTCTTTCTGTTTGCTGTATTGACTGTTGCAGAGAAGCTTCGTCAAGCAAAGCAGAATTCAAATGACCTCTGCAAGTTCATTGCAGTCTACTTTGATTACTCCTGTGAAGGAGACATCCCTGGTATTCTGGATCTAAGTACAAAATACAAACTCATGGACAATCTTCCTCAGCTGTATTCACATTTACACTCCAGAGATCTTAGTGTACAGGATTCAGAGGTGTTTCCTGTTAACATTAGTAAAAGGAATTATTTCAGAAGCAAATCTGGGAGGTCCCTTTATGTTGCCATTTGCAATATGCATCAGTTCATTGATCAGGAACCAGATTGGTTTGAGAAACAATTTATTCCCTTCCCTCCACCTTCTTTACATTACTCAGAGCCTGTCATGGAAAAATTTGATTCGGGCTTGGTTTTAAATGACTTAGTGAATAAACAGGTGATGGATGGTGATTTTTACCTGAAAACAGATGTAAACATTATTTCAGCTGGGAATTCAGACTCTCACTGTATAATTCAGCACTTAAACCTTGGAGAAGATACAGAAACTCAGGACATTCAAGGTGGTGGCAGCTCTGTTCTTCAGCCATTGTTACATGTTGTTAAAGCTTCAAATCTTAAAGATATGCCTCGAGATTCTGGAATCTATGATTCGTCTGTTCCTTCATCTGAATTATCCTTACCTTTAATGGAAGGACTATTGACAGACCAAATTGAAACATCTTCCATTACAGGAAGTGTTTCTTCATCGTCAGGTTTAGGTAAGATATAGCAGTGTTTCAAAAATTATATTCAGTTATTATGAGCATATTTCTACCATCTCAAAATACTTAAGGTAATATGTGAGGAGCTATATAGAAGGCTGCAGAGGAAGATTAGTATTGTATAAAGATGGTAAAAAAGATAGGTTTCAGTAACTTTAAGGAAAAGATTCATTTTTCTAACTTATTGGGGGGGGGGTTTCCTTAGCTAAGTAAGATTTCACTAAAATTCTATTAAGTTACTTCTCATTAATTGACCTGTTGTTGGAGACACTGCTTCTTTCTTCCAGGGACTCCTTGGCAGCTGGGGTACTCAGCTGACAGCTGTGTGGTTTAATTAAGAGGGTGATATGGTGAAGCATTCTTACAGAATGGCCATAAATCTAAAACTGACATCCTATTTTGCTCCAGCGCATAGTAGAACATTTAGGGATATAATCTGTACTGTGGTTAACTCAAGTTTCAGAATGACATTAGGTTTCTCACTGGATGTGGGGCTGGGAGGAATGAACAAACAGGTTTCAGTGGGGGAGTTTAAATGCTTAGAAGACACTCTCCAAAATAGATACCCGGCTTAGATGCCTACAGTTAGAAGATGTAAATGCTGCCTCAGGCTATATAAAAAGCTGATCTGACATTGCTAGTTACAGTACATTGAACTGACATCAGAACTACATCTGTGTGGAGTGTTCCAGCAATTGTATTCATAGAACAAAACCGCTGTTTGCTGAGATTTTCCTTAAGCAGCTACAACAGGTGAATATTGCATTTTGATGGTGGTATGCTGTTCTGCTTTCTTGAATGAGTGTAGACTTTTATTTTGGCTAAATGGTTTGTGGTTTTGGGGTTTTTTTTATTATTCAGATAATTCATAACTAATGTTTGATTCCAGAATTATCTTGGGGGGAGAGAATATAGATGTTGATTTACAGATATAGCATCTATATCTATAGGCTAGATAGTCTGTAGGACAAAATAACTAAAACCTGAAAACTTTTCAGGTGGAAAAAATACAGATTTACTGATTTAATTGCAGAAGCCACAAATACTCTGTTATTGTTTCAAAATTAATATTCTTAATTTCCTGCCATCTTCTAACATAGCCTTTTCTCACATTTGTGGGAAAAATTACAGATGGTATCTGTAAAGGTTCTAGTGTTGGATGAAAGTAGGATGCTAGTTTAAAATTTATGGCCTCTCTGTAAGAATGCTTTACCAGTATTTCCCTCCTGATTCAATCACTGAGCTGTCAGCTGGGTATTCCAGCTGCCAAGGAGTCACTGGAAGAAAGAGGCAGTCTTTCCAGCAATTAATTCTCAAGTCACATACCTACTTGTTAACATGTTTCAGCTATAGAGGTTAAACATTATAGCACTAACTGGTAGAGTTGGATCTTAACACTGATGTTCCAAAATCTTAAGAAACCACAGTAACTTCTGCCATTTTCCCATTCACTGTCCCTGTCCAAAAGCACCACCCTGACCAACTCTAACTCAAACATCCCCTCACCCAAACCACAGTCCTAATTAGGTGTAGGGTACAAAGGAGACAGTATCGAGAACTGAGCATCATCTGTCCATTAGAGTGCAATCCATTGAATCTTTTTACTGTCCCAGACATACAAAATATTTATAGCCCTAATATTTATATGCCTAATAATGAGAGGAGTAGATATAATTTTTTAGCTTTTATTCTTGTTCTGTCCAAATTACTACTCTGACTTCAAAGTACCATTTCTGTTTTGGCTACCTATTTTTTATCTTTTACTTGGGTCAGAACAGAAGTGAACAGCTCTGTCATTTAGCATCTCAAGGTAGATCTTTCCTCTTTAAAGGATGGTTTGATTTAATCTTTTGAATTAAAATCGTAAGTCACATAATCTGTAATACTTTCTATCTTTCAGTGCAGTTCATGTGCAGACTACTGATCTGCAAAGAAATCATATTGGGCGTCATCAACTGAAGTTCAAACCAGTTTAATTTTGAGGAAGTACCAACAACCAAACCTTTACTAGGTCCATTCACTAATAAGGTCTTCTCTAAGAAGCCCTGCCTGGGGAGAAAATTTGTATTAATTCTTTAAATAAGGAGTTACTAAGCATGGTGGTTCAGCCTCATCAATGTATGGCACTATGATCCAGAGGGTTTTCATAAGCTTTCTTTGCATTGTTTCGAAAATGTTGACCAAATACAAAATCAATGTTTCAATTAATGAACCTCACTTTTTTCCTTTTATAGGGGAAGAAGAACCTCCTGTAATCACTGCTACAAAATTCTTAGTGCCTGGAATATGTAAAGCAGAACTTCATTGCCATATCCATACTGACGAACTGCAGGCAATTGCTCCTTTATAATACATTACAACTTCGTTATGCATTGCCACTTTATCAACAGCCTCTGTTTGTACTTTAACTACCACACTGTCGCAGCACTAAATCTACTTGAAGGAACAAATACTCCCTGAAGAAGATCTGTTATTCCTAAGGGATTTTTTTTATGGCCAGTAAACTTGAATTTGTTGATCATTTTATATAAAGTCTTTCATGATTTGAAAAATGCAGCATGGAAAAATAGATGAGAATACATTTCAGAATTATTCCTATTACTAATTTAAATGTCATGATATTACACTGTTTACAGATGCCATAATCAAAAGTGACCTTTTTTTGCTAGAAATAATCTTACAACTGGACATAAAATAGCTTGGAAGGTTAAGTTTTAGTAAATTTTGTAGTCCAGCCTCTAGTTTTAAGTGCTGATATACTTGATGGCAGGAGTGTTGTAGTGAATGAGAGCAGGATTTTTTTCAGAAGCAAGATAAAATGCCAAAGGTGAGATCAAGAAATTCTCCATCAGAAGAAATGATTTTCTTTCTGAAATGTTTGAGCTTCTTTTCTCACAGTCTCTTCTCTTTACCAAATTTCCCAGTATTTAATTTCAGTTAAGTGCATATCTCCCTCTTCTCTATGATTCTCCTATCTCTTCCCCACAATCTGGCTATGATGACTCACGAATAGTACCATACTGAGTCTGAAGTATCATGTTTGTAATAGACAAAAATATAGATCCTGCATATGCTGAGTGATACCATGGAAACCAAGTTTCCTGTTTTCTTCCTGGAAGGGCTAATATAAAGAATACTTTAAAGAGATGGGGGAAAGAAGACCAAATTTTGTATTTAAGACATCGTTCTGGATTTGTTCAGCCATGAGATGAGTATGCTTTATGGGGGATTTCATATTATCCTTCGAGGACATGCTGCTACAAAATCACCTGGGGTAAAACAAGTTAAGAGAAGCAGTTAACAGGCATGAATACTTTGCTTTGTTTTGAGCCAACCCATAAACAGAAACCTATGAGTTATTTTGCAGTTATTTTTCACACTACTCACCATTATTTAGTGATTAAGATATTATATTACTAGTGTTATATTAACAATGCTAAAACCACAACTGGACACATTTATCTAAAGACACAGAGAGTGCATGTCCTTTCTTTTGCAGTGACCAGGTAGGTGTACCATCACCCAAAATATCCCTGCTGTTTCCAAAGAGCAACTTTTCATGAGTAAAACCAATCTGTGAAACTGCAGTAGTAAGGCACTATTATAATAAGCATGATAACAGCAAATAGTCAAGGACACCTTATCAACGTGCCTTTGCTAATTTTGCTCATGGAGTCAGATTCTGTCTCATTTAACTTGTCTTCACATTCCACTAACAGGAGGTTACTTTAGGAATACATTAAGGGAGAACTCAAACACCTCAAATATTCTCTCAATTTTGATAGATGAGAATTAGACATTGCTAACTGTTACATTGTATTATGCATTTTAATAGCATGAGATAAAACTACTAAATCAGTGATGATTTGGCTAACTGAGTAGCTTTAAAGCTCCTGGGGTTTTTTCCTCATCAGTTTATATTTAATAATTTGAATTTCCAAATAAAAGTCTTTCAAAATTGTTGTCACAGGTGGAGTAAGAAAGTGCTGTAACAATTGTTTGAAGATAACCATCGATGGCAGAACTCTGGCATGCCTTGCAATTGTAATATGGAATTCTGTGATCGACTAGATGTATGTGTCAGATTTGGAGGGCCTTGTCCATTAATGTAATGTTCCTTACTCTTCCTGTTTTCTGAATTTGAAGGAACACTAACTGGAAAACCTCAAACTTGCAATTCCTAAGTAAGTTTTAGGTATTTTTAAGTGCATAGTGAATCATCTGCACCTTCAATGATTTTTTTTTTTTTTTTTTTTTTTTTTAAATTCTGTGCCTTGGGGTGTACTGAAAGCAAAATTCTTCATGTTTTCCCATTCTTTGAAGTTGAAAAATACCTGGGTCAAACTGGGCAGAATAATCTAGAGGTAAATGCTCCTCCATAAATGCAGCTGTGAAGGATCTTGATTCAGTGCAATTCTTGCCATTTTACTAGAGAAAGAGTTTGGATTGATAAGACACAGGCAGAAAGGTTACAAAATTTGTGTGCTGAAGAGCTGCTATGCATAGAAATGCCAAAGCTGCGAAACATGAGGAGGAGGCAATTTCTTAGCAGTTAGCTGGTGAAGGTAATGCTGCTTTCCTCCGTGGAAAGTCCCAGCTCACATACTGTTATTTTATGCTAGACTAAAGATTGGGAAGATTTCCTGGTTCCATTAAATTCAGTAGCAGAATTGGTATTACTTAATGGAATTAGGTTTTCATTTTGAGCTCTAAGAAACCTCAGTTTTGAAAACGGATGAAGGTAGTTGCACAAAGAATCACTTGTCATTAATGTTTTTATTTTTATTTCTTCAAAATTTGCTGTACAATCCTGCAAATCTTACTTTTTTAATTATAAAATGTCTATGCAGATGCCAATCAAATCTGTTGGGTGGGGGGAAGAAGAATTCCTTCATTCCTTCTTAGCATAAAGTGGAAACAGCGTATTATATGTCCTCAGAAGAAAGAGAATATAATTAATTGAAAATTTAGAGTAGGACAAGCCCACGCTTAAAATATACAAAATGAGAAAAGTAATACTTAATCTGATTTAGCATAGTTTTTTTACAAAGCCACAGTGTTTAAAAAAAAATAGAAAAATATTGTGTATGTTGAGATGATGGAAGGACATAGTACTGAATTTGCAAGAATTCTGTATTTTCCCTCCAATGAGAATAATAGCAAAAATCCTTGTAAAAAAATATTTTTAAAACAAATATGTTAATACAGATATTAGAGGTTAGCTTACTACTATTTTCAAGCATTAGTAAACTGTAAACAGAATGTTAACGGTGAAAGGATCCCTTTAATTTCTACTAGACTCAAGTGTGTGGACATTGTCTGGATGTTTTAAAATGTATTTTCTAAGAGGGTGGAAAAAACATTGGAAAGCTGAAGGGTCAAGATATGGTAATGTGTTCAACATTTTGAATAATAAGTATAGTTGTTGCCGCAATTTGTACCTGTACATAAACACATCAACTGTTGAAAATAGAATGCAGCTGACACTTGCAGAAATAAAATTTTATGATACTATAATTTAGAAGTTAAATATCAAAATAAAACATTTTTGTTCAGTTTCTTTCATTGAGCTTTTCTTAGTAGTATAAGAAGACTTGGCTTAAGAGTCCAATTGTTTAATTGTTTTATCCAAAACACTTTTAATGCAGTTATGCACACCACACAAATAACCAGACTCTCTAACTGCTATTCATACTGCTATTTTGATGGGTGTTTAATATAGTCAAGCAACTGTGAGAAACTTTAATTTTGTAAAACTTCTGTATTGGACAGACTGGGTCTGATTTTTTTTTTTTTTAAATAAAACTGCCTTAATATGATTTTATGTAATTATTTTTCCTATATCCTCCTTGAAGGTTTCCTAGCAATATGTGGTTCTGCATGTCAAGTGAAACCTATCCACACCAGCTACAAAACTATAATAACCTGGATTGGATTAATTTTGTCAAAGAAGATGTGATAATTACCTAAGATTTATATGCTTTTTGTATACATCCAAGTGGATTTCAAAGCACTGTTCCAGACAATGAACTCTGCAAACTGTAATTTCAAGGATAAGCCTTGAAACCACTCATATTCCTTATGTTGTTCAGGTAAATGAAGATTTTTATAATGGACTTTTGGTCCAATCAAACTTAGAATGCTATAGAAAAATCTGTAATGAGTCTGTAAAAGTTGTTATTATTGAAGACTTGAACTGCTTACTTAATATCAGATAGTTTGCATATACATTAGCTATGTTGAATTTACAGGATGATGTTTATAATGATTAAACCTGTTGTCGTCTTTGGGCGTCTATCCCACTATTCCTAATTCTGCTTCTATCACCAGATAACTCAGAGACATTCTGAGGGGTCACTAGGCACGTGAATAGTTGCATTAATAATTCAAAAGAGAATTTGATAAGTTACTTCTCTGTATCTGAACTGTACTTCTTTGAGATGTGTTATCCATATGTATATTCTGCAGTCCTAATTTCTGTATCCTCTGCCTTGGAGCCCTGTACATGAGGAACTTTGTGGTTGAAAGAAAATGGAAAGAAGGTGTTGCTCTAGTTTTTATACCTTCAGTTTAAAACATGAGAACCCTTGGGATGCTTTCATGATGTTTGGGAACTGTTGGCTAAAATTCTTACACCTTGAGGATGTGGAAAGATATGCTTCGATATAAGGATGTGCATATGGATAATATCTCAAAAAACTTAAGGAACTAAGCTCTCATTTTTCTTTTTTTACCTTGCATTTAAATAGTTTGGTGACTTGATACTGAAATCCCCCACAAAGAAAAAAAACACCACACAACAACAAACACTTTTTGAGTTATAGTGAAAAACGTGCACTACACACAGCATGTGCATTCAAACTATAACTGGTCAGATCCAAATTACTTCTAAAAGGTCAGAAGTTAAAGGTGGTGCTATAGATCAGCTAAAAGAATAGATCAACTGAAAGAATTTTTCCCTCTATCTGCTATAAATTATTTTATTTTACTTGCTATCATCTATTGCTGTTTCTCAGACTCGTAAAAAAACAGAACAATGGTCAATTCATATATTTTATTACTGGATACAATTTCATTCTTTATTCTCTTAGAAGTGATTTAATAAAGTCTGATTTACTATGATGTTCATTTTTATGGGGAGCTGCACCGTTGACAATGATTTCATATTTATAGCAGTCTATGGAAACAGTAGAGATTGGACATATTATCCTGTTCACAAAAAGCAGAAGAAAAGGAAATGTTCTTTCCTCGGTGTCGGATGTCACCTAGTTGACCAGAAATTGAAGTGCTTGCCCATACCTACCTCAATGCTAAAAGCTCAGTTCTTAGTGATTTTGGTATTTTACTCCACTGCAGATACTTAGGGAAGGCTGGGCGTTTGGGAACATTAATGTGAAAATATGAAAGATGCTGGGGGGGCGGGGAGGAAGTTTAGTTATATATAGTTAGTGTCGTGGTTTAACCTGGCAGGCAGGCAGCCACCCCCCCCCCAGCCACTCGCTCACTCCCCCCCCACCCCCCCCCAGTGGGACGGGGAGAGAATTGGAAGGGTAAGAGTGAGAAAAACTTGTGGGTTGAGATAAAGACAGTTTAACAGAATAGAAAAGGGAAAATAATAATAATGATAGAATATACAAAATGAGTGATGTACAGTGCAATTGCT